ACATTGTATCGAAAAAATAAAGCATCAATTAATATAAAAAACATGTATAAAAATTAATTAATAAATCTTTTTTTATTCTTGTTTAATACGAATGAGAACATTTGAATTATATTTATTTAAAAAATAATAAATAATATTAATATAAAAAATTACATTTGAATTATTTGACAGTTCTTCTAAAATATTATTTTAATTATTTTATTTAAAAATATATATAAATAATAACAAATGGTTGGTATTATGAGTAAAGATGCATAGTTAATTTTCAATAAAATCAATAGCTCTAATGTATTTTTTTATACATCATAATCGTACTCATTGTGTCGAGTGTGCAACATAAATTGATTTTTTTAAAATTGTAAAAAATATATTGAACTTAGTAGAGTGTCATAAAAAAACTATAAAACTAATTTTGATAAAATTTGATTATATAAAGAATAAGTAAAGAAAACATGAAAATTATATTTTGAAAAATTAATTATATATGAAAAATATGCAAAAAAATATATATTGAAAGTCCATGCATAAGAGAAAATAAATCATATTTATTAACATATAAAATTACATAAAAAACAATAAAAAAATTAATTTGATGATAATTTTTATAAGAAACAAAAAATTAAAGAGATAAATTTTAAATAATAAGAATAATATATATATATATATATATATATATATATATATATATATATATATATATATATATATATATATTCTAAATCTAAAAACATATCATATATATTTTATAATCGTGAGCTTATGTGAAAAAATAATTGGTTTTTCTTAATTTTTCACAACTAATTCAATAAATAAAAAAGAACATAAATTAGTGAAAAAAAGAAGAAGAGAGAAAAATTATGATTGATTTTTTTTTAAATAACTTTCACCCAATTGAATAATAAAAAAAATAAAATGATGGAAAAAATCAAAGGAAAAAAAAGGTCCGGAAGCCGAATGTAGCGACCTAATACGGTAGGCCCATAGACCAAATAGCCCAAGGGATCAAATTTTTATCATAAAACTCCAAAAACTAAAATGAAATATTATGTAAACTTCATATATAAATGTCCAAAAATAATTAAAAAAATCACAAAAATGCATCTCTTATATACAATATATGAATAGTTACTTTTGAGGAGATGACCGAGTGAAAATCACTGTTCGAAAACGAAATGTGTTTTTTTTTTGTTTTAAAAAAAAACTAGGTTTTCACCGAGCACTACGTTGCGGCTTGGACAGAACATCTAAAATTATTTTATTTTGAAAATTTGTACTACATTGTGAATCAATCAAAATATTGAAACATAGATTAAAAAAAATCTATTCAATTTTATTATTTTTTATTAAAATTTTACGTTTGACTTGATATTCATTATATTTTTCATAAATGTTTGGCAAAAATTTTTTTTTCCTCATTTATTTGATTCTTAATTAAAAACTTGTAATAATCTAAAAATAAAATCTAAAACTCCATGAATTTTTAACTAAAAATTTATTTTGTAAATTATGTTTTCAAAAAATCTAATTCAAATTCTCTAATATATATATATATATATATGTGTGTGTGTGTGTGTGTGTGTGTGTGTGCGCGCGCGCTATCAATTTAAAAATTCTAAAAGTTCATTATATAAATTATATAAAATTATTTTCTAAAAAATATAATCACATTCTAAAATTTTATTTAAAAATTTATGCATAGAGAATGATAAATAATATTTAAACAAAATAAAATTGTAAAATAAAAATTAATTGGATGATAATCTCTATTAGAGATGACAAATTGAAGAAATAAAATTTAAATAATGAAAATGATATAATTTAAAATATATGTTTATGTTAAAATATAAAAACATATCTTTTTTTTTCTCATCAAACTGCAAAACAAAAAAAAAAAGTAGCGTTTGACATTTCAGAATATTCACCTAAAAATATTTAGAAAAAAATTAAAAAAATAAAAAAAGATGCCGAGCTAAGAACTAGGCATGTGTGCTTGGGTGTGGAGGACCAAACCCTATCGGGAAAGTTGTTGTTTTTTTTTTTTTTTTTTTTTGGAAAAAAACACTACAATTTCTAACGAGCTAGTGTTCATAAAAATGTTGTCAAAAAATCATGTTTTTGATTTACGGCTTCTCCAAAGCCAAATTCAATCCTATGTTTTTTAAAAAATAACTTACAATCACAAAAATAATGTTAAAAAAAAAACTATTTTACGGTCTCAAAATTCATCTTAATGCACACAAAAACATAAAATTTCAAATCAAACTAAAAAAACTTAAAATATTTTCGAATCATGATCTATCTCTGGAAACTATTTCATGGTTGGTAACCACCACTAAAAATTAGAAAAATCATGTTATTTTCAGCTTCCCCAAAGCCAAATTCAATCCTTTCTTTTTTTTTTTTCAAAAATAACTTACAATCACAAAAATAATGTCAAAAAAAGCTATTTTAGAGTCTTAAATTTTACTTTAATGCACACAAAGACATAAAAATTCAAATCAAACTAAAAATTTTTAAAATATTTTTGAATCATGATCTATCTCTCGCAAACTATTTCATGGCTTGTAACCACCACTAAAAATTGAAAAAATCATGTTATTTTCAACTTCCCCAAAGCCAAATTCAATCCTTTTTTTTTATTCAAAAATAACTTACAATCACAAAAATAATGCCAAAAAAACTATATTATAGTCTTAAAATTCATTTTAATGCACACAAAATACATAAAAATTTAATTCAAACTAAAAAACTTAAAATGTTTTCGAATCACGATCTATCTCTTCAACCCATTCTATGGCTTGTAACCACCACTAACAGATTATATTCTTCAAGATGAACAAATTATCGGTAATATCGATGATAGATGTGGCGGGAATGGCCCTCACCTCTCTCTCTCTCTCTCACCCTCTCCTATAAGGATTTAAGGACCATATGGTAACATAAATAAAGTTTGAGATCGAAACTTTTTTTTACTAAAAACATGAGAGACTAAAATGCAAAAATACTAATAAACAATGAAAATAAAAAGTAAAATTGAGTGATAGTAAGCGAGTGCAATTGGGTGTTGTGAATTAACATTCTCTTTTTAATGTTTTAATTAATAAAACTTTACAACCTACAATCATTTATTAGGCGAGTTAAGAATTGATTTTAATAATTAATATCTAATAGTTAACGGAGTATAAGAAAAAAAGTATTATTAAGATGTATTGAATTTACAACCACTATAAAAAAATGAAAGATTAATTCTAAACTAAACACTATCAATAGTTAATTACAACGCAAGCTAGATGTTCATTTATTCTATTCGATTAAGAGCACACTTGCTCAAAAATTGCTCACCTATGCAAGAACAATACAAATTAAACGGGTTTCGAGTCTTGGTTATTATACATATATATTTTGTTTGCAATCTAACAAAATATAAAATTATTAACCATAATAGATATAGTTATTAAGCTGTAAAAATCTTGCTTGTTGTTCTAAATTACATATTATTTATACTATTTTCACGTAGTTGATGCGAATATAGTGATAGATAAATTATAAATTAGTCTCACTTGCTTTGAAAAATGAATTAATTAGTCCTTCGATTTCAAAAAATAGTTATTTAATCTTTTTAACTAGTACACACCATAACTAATTTATTTTTTATTTTTTAAAATGTCTTCTCTTCTCATCAATCTTTTTTTATATTTTTATCCATTTTTTTAATTTTCTATTTCTTAAAACAAAAAGTAAAAAAAAAAATTGAAAAATAGAAAAAGGACAAAACTATTAGTTTTTGAAACCAAATGAACTAATTAATTTGTTTTCCTAAGAAAGAAGGACTCATTTATAATTTACTCTTGAATAGCAATTTACTCATCTCCTACGAAATACGGGAAAAAAAAAGCAATAACAGTAGCATTAAATGCTATGTTAAAAAACAAAGTAAAATCACAAAAAAAGTCTAAAAGACAAATAAAAAAAGAGAATCAAGTGAGGGTAAGTGTGGATTTTCAAAAATCCATCGAGTGACGATAAGTGTAATTAAGAGTAAAAGAGAATGTCATTTATAGTGTAGAGGAAAAAAAATGATGAAAAAGGGCTAAAGAAGAAAATTAAAAAAAAAGAATTAGTCAAAAGGCAAATGTGTATTTTCCCAAATCTATCGAGCTACGAGTAAAAGTAATTAAGAGCAAAAAAAGAGGTCATTTATAACACAAAAGAAAAAAAAAGAAAAACCCAGCTCAATCTACAGTAGAATTAGGTGAGAATGAACCGTTTAGTAATAGAAAATCCATGTCCTATTTTATTATTTTATTATTTTTTATTTTTTTTGTTAATAATTACGCCATTAAAACAAAACTAATGTTAACATGTTGGAAGTCCACTAAAATTCAGAAGCCCAAGAGAACCTAAAGACAAAAGCCCAGGAAAGACACTCACACGTGGATAGAGAACGGCCCAATAAATATCTCATATTTCTGGGTTTCAAGATACCCAGTAAAGAGAAATATAGTTTCACTGGGCCAGGCTTCCATAGTCATGGAGAAAATTTTACAGGCTAGATGGGGCATTTAGGAAGTCAGAGAAAAAAAATGGGTACATATAATGAAGTCTCTCTCCTTTAAACCGCAGTCAATTCCCAATTGGATTTTTCTTTCAAGAAGCAGCAGGTAGAGAGAAAGAGAGACGCACATCGAGACGCCGATTTTAGCACTTCAAAACGCAAAGGTTCTCTCTGCCTCCTCTCCCCTATACTGCAAAATCCATAAATCATCATCGATTTCTTGTAAATTTTAAGATCAATTCTAATTGATTAAAAAAAAAAATACAAAAGTAAAAAGTTAGGGTTTGCGTTGGCTTTTTTCCGATCGACTATCTAACCGGATTCAAATTAAAATAAAAAATAATTTAAATCAATACCAATTTCGAATAACAAGAGATTATAATTATAATAGTAATTCATAGAAATTTCTGATATTGAAGCAATTTTTTATTTATTCAATGTTTAGATGGATCTGCAAGAACAGTTAGATAGATTCAAGAGGCAGCAAGAGAAGTGTCAGTCTACCCTTACAAGTATTGCGAAATCAAGGCCGTCCAAATCCAGTGCGACTCAGAAAGCTGTTTCGGTAGCTGCATCGCCATCTACGAATGCGAGGACTCCTGCTCCTGCTGTCAAATTTTCTAATGATACGGAGAGGCTTCAGCATATTAATAGTATTCGAAAAGGCCCTGCCGGAGCTCAAATCAAGCGTGTGATAGACCTGCTTCTGGAGGTAATAGTTGAATTCGTAACTGTTGTTTTGATTCCCTTCCGAATCATGATGATTATGGGTTAGTCGTATGGATAGAAAGAACGATAGCGTTCAGCATTGATGTTTGTGGGGTCTTATTGAACATTGTTTGCATAGCAAAGTTTGAAAGAAGGATTAGGTGAATCGAAGTTACTGAGCTGATCAAGATGTGAACCATCCGTCTTATATTCAAATAAAAAGGTTGGGGGTGTTTGATATCTCAAATTTAAGTGATTGCCTATGATCATTGCAAAACATGGAATGTTGGCTAAGATTAATTGTCAATGAATTCTGTCAATGTGAACTGTAGTGCTTTTGTGGAAGAAATTAACTTTGCAAACCTTAAAAATGATGTTTTCTGGTATATGCCTTTCAGGAGTCTTTTCCTTGTGAGTGTTTCATTTTCCTATTCATGTTGGTGCTTCTTTTGGACCATGTCCTAGGATTGTGCCCCTCTCTTTTTTAGGCCCTTTTAGAACACCATTTTATTAATATATGACATGCTATGTTTTATACCCTTTCTCTTTTCAGCTCTCTTGTGAGATTTTAAATGTTATGAAAAGGCATGTTGAGCTTTTTGGACTGGTTGGGTAGTTCCATTGCTTTATGTATTGGTTAATCTTTTGAAATTACTGATATTTTAGATTTTAAAGGATCCTCTTCATTAATTTTCTTCGTTTATCCTGCACCAAGTGTTAGGTTCTTGCACTCCTTCATTTTGGCCCTTTTTGGTGTGTTATGTTACAGGAAAAGAAATTTGCTTGTTATGCATTATGGTGGCAGGAATTATATTTCCCACTTCTCCGCTTTCATTTTACTTCTCCCTTCTGATCTTCCTTGTTGAATTTTAAATCTCATGATAAGCTAATTTAATCCTGTTTTGGGAGGAGTTGAGAAGCATCCCCTTCCTTACGACTTCTCTATTTTTGCACGTTTGCAGACAAGGCAAGCCTTGACCCCTCAACAAATAAATGACCACTGTTACGTTGATATGAACTCCAACAAAGCTGTCTTTGACAGTTTGACGAACAACCCAAAAGTGCACTATGATGGGAAACGCCTCTCGTACAAGGTGACTCTCACTATTATATACCTACAAACCCTGATAGATTGGCACACTTTTGGATCAGTAATTAAATAATTGTTACTGATTTGGTATCTGCCTTCTTTTTCCTCTTTGATGGAATCACATTCTGAGTTTTGAATTGTCTATAGTCCAAGCATGATTTGAAGGACAAGAATCAACTCCTTGTCTTGATACGGAAATTTCCAGAGGGCATTGCTGTCATTGACCTTAAGGATGCATACCCAAATGTGATGGATGACTTACAGGTATCTTTAATTGCTGAACAATATGTTTCTATTTGGTTGGATTTATGCATATGTTTCCATGATTTTTATATCAAAAAAAGACTGAACCTCTGAGAGAGAGATCAATTTTACACAGAAGGCATGTATGCAACATCTTATGCTTGACTTTTTTTTCCCCAACTCTTGAAGGTTGTCTGCATAAATGAAATCTCAATGAACTCTGTAACATTGTACTGAAAACATTGGTGGGTTATATAGTAGCGTTTCCTGTGGTCCTCGCTTGTTGCTGAGGCTAGGAGGGAACAATTGGGGGCTCTTTTCCCCAATTTGATGGAAGCAAAATCTTTAAAAAATTCACATGGTTGTTCCTTAGTTGAGCTTGTTTGATAGTTAAGTCCTGTAGAGCAGAACTCCAGTCTGACTTTACAGATTTTGAGCTGAGCCCAAACAAGCTTAAAGGTGCGGCTCAGTTTGGCTCAATTTTTCCTCTTGAAAATGAGTAGAGCATGAAGTAATTTTTTTAGTACCGCATTCTCTCTTGTCTTTGTGTGTATGATGAATATTGATGATAAGTCAGTGTCCTAAGGAAAGTTTTGAACAGAATTGTACTTATATTCCAGGCTTTGAAAGCTGCAGGCCAGATTTGGCTGCTATCAAACTTTGATTCGCAGGAGGATATTGCCTACCCGAATGACCCCAGGATGGTCATTAAGGTGGACGATGACCTTAAACAGCTCTTTCGAGGGATTGAGTTGCCTCGAGATATGCTCGACATTGAGAAGGATCTTCAGAAGAATGGGATGAAACCTGCCACCAATACTGCAAAGAGGAGGGCTGCAGCTCAGGTCCAGGGCATTTCCACTAAGCAAAAGGCCAAGAAGAAGAAGCATGAGATCAGCAAGAGAACTAAGCTCACCAATGCACATCTTCCAGAACTTTTTAAAAACCTTGGTTCTTGATACTATGGGACTAGATTGCTCTGTTGTTTAGCACAGCTCAGAAGATCATTTATAGCTGAGATACACTATACTCTTATGCAAAGTTACCGGATGCCTTGGAAGTTGAATGACTCGTGTAGATTGGATGTACTCTGGAGTTCAGATCAAATGTGTCCTGCCTGTCAGAATTTTATATGCATTCATCATCTCTATCCCAGTCCACTCGCTTGGCCTGATCTCTTGATTCCATTGTGATTATGCCCATAAACAGGGTTGCGTTCGTTGGACACAACTCCATTATAGTGGAGGATAGATTGCAAAGTTCCGTATTCTGGCATAGTTTCATTTTATCTGGACTCGTGCGCTGATGCCAAGGTTTCAATTTTATGGTCAAATATTCATTATGAGGTGGACTTGGATATTATAATTAGAATAAAAGTTGGGCTATTTGCATCCCATCGCATGGGCATACTGCATTTGGGTGATGGACTCTAGCTCGTGTTTAATGGCAAAAAATTGCTATCAATTTTGACAATTTTGGAACTTTATTATTAATTTAGGTTAATTAAATCTCAAAATATTTTTTTGTTTTTAAATAGATGTGATCTTTATTTATTGCTTTTAAAGATCAATGTTCTTTGATCATTAATATTTGAGTGTTTTTTTTTTTTTAGTTTAATTTGGTCAGAATATGTTCTTTATAAAATTTCATAATGGCTATTCTTTAGATTTTAAAATTAATAAAACTTCTGAAAAAGAACTTAAAAATACATATAATCAAATAGAAAAATAAAAGTATAAAGACTCGATTAGAAATAAAATAAAATATTTATGGTTATATGGTGTATGTATTAAAATGTTGATGTGTCAATTTAATAGTCATGTAAAGATAAATTTATATAAAATTTTGATTTAAAAAATTAAAAATTTGCATTAATGACAAGTTGTCTATATTATTGTCATTAATATAAATTTTTAATTTTTTAATCAAATATTTGTGTTGTTAAATTCATGATGAAATAATTATTAAATGGGCATGTCGTTATGCCAACCTACCAATCACGTGAGCATGAATATTTATTTATTTTTAATCAATTATTTATATTTTATTTTTTATTTAAATATATATATTTTTATTTTTTTATTTGATTATCTATCTTTTTAATTTTTTATGAGTGGTATTAATTTTGAAATTTAATCAATAGATATTACACAATTTTATGTGGATTATATCAAACCCTTTAGCTCCTAGGCCCTTCTTGTGCCCGGGCGTAAAGGCTTGTGATTGGCTAACATCTAGATGGTCGTGCATCATAGTTCATGGTTGCCTTGGTGCCAGAGGTTTGAACTCGAGGGAACATTAATATCAATGAAACTACAATTTATTGGCTGCCAGGCCCTTTCCATGCACTATGGTGGATCTATGGAAAGTAGGTACCAACGAAATTTCTATCTTTCCACTTGGGCCGTGTAAGCTGAAAAAACAAGTACATCAACCAAGCATTATGCTGGTTTTTCCAGGCGTGACATTTGGCTAAATTAATAATAAACTTGAATTCTATGTGACTTATAGATTATTGCATTTCATTAGAATTGACTTGAGTTGTAATCAAGCTTTGTTTGATTCTTCCTTGCCTTTCCAATGAGTGTCACAAGTTCACACGCACAAACGTATTATATGGCTGCTTAAACACAAGAACATATGCTCTTAATTTCTTGCTCAAGCAAGAAAATGACTTTTATTGTATTTGGTATCTCTTGTGCAAAATCCTTTTTAATTAAGAAAGCAAAAGCAACTTTTCATGATGACTCGAGCAATCTCATAAATCTTTTCTCAAAGATACATTAATGACTGGGAAAAGTGGTGTACCATACGGCAGGATGTATTCTTCTATTTTATTTTCAGGGACCCATGTCAGTGAGCATTCTGATCTGTCTCCATGGAGGTTTGGCTCATGTCACCAGTAATGGCTACTATATATTAATGGATTTCTGCATACTTTGCTTGACTACTTGCCAATGCCAACTTAATTTAGTCTTGTGTTAGTTATATATCTATTCTTCTCATTAAAAAAAGAAAAAAGAAAAAAAGAGAGAAATAAATTCCACAGACGGTAGTTTGCATATGCAATAAAATCCTTCATGTTCTCCATGCCTTTTTTTTAATAATGGAAGTTACATCTCGGAATCCTTGCAGAATTTATAGGTTGACCTCTTGAGCATAAAACAATATATATATATATATATATATTGACATGGGCACACACATGAACCCAAATATTGTATTTATGCTCTCTTTTATTCATGTATAGCGAAAATTTGCCCCACCCTCAAGGCTATACTAGCAATAAGGTAATAGTAAATCGAAAATCAGTTGGCCTTTTATACATATTAGCTATTTATTGTTTGACTTCTTCTGTACTATAAACCAGAAAAGGATCTTGCAAGTATGCACACATACAGTCGGTGGCTACAGCCAATTTAATAGACCGTTTCTTGTATTTCATCTGTAGTTTATAGGCATTAACTCCCCATTTCACAAGTTTTGACCTTTCTCATCTCTTAAATTTTTCTGAAGCTTGTACTGGGTAATTAGCAGACGGAGGACATGATGAACTCAATAGCTACTGTAATTATTATTATTATTATTTTTTTCTTTATTATCACATAATATTGCAAGTCTACAAGGATAAAAGAAAGCAGAGAAATTGACATTAAACTCTCAGAAAATTTCTTACATGTGCGAAATACCTTATCACATAATTTTTACAATTCAATCAATTACAATTACAGAGAAAAGTACTTACGTCAAAATTTCAATATTTTCCAACTGTATATCAATTATATATATTTGAAACAAAGAGAAAGAAAGAAGAAAAGAGAGAGGTAAAGATATGCACTCTAAACTGCAAAAAGATATGTATACAACTGAATACAAAAATAAAACTAACTATAACCACAAGACTCCAATCATCAGTTGTGGAGTGGGTTTGGCCCCCCTGGAACTGTTCTAAAAGAAACTCCATAAACTGGGTCATCTTTCTCGTCTTTGCTGGATCCTTCAGGAGCTTGTGCAGGGAAATGCAATGAAAACTGAGGAGACACCTCTGTTTCAGCAGCTGCTTTCTTTGTTTGATCACCTAAATTTATATGGAGGTGGCGGCAACTTGAGAGCTGGCTAACAGCGAGGATGATCATCAAGAAAAGAAATGATGAGAGCCTTTGATTTGGAATTCTCATGGTTTTGATGAAGAGAATGCAACAGAAGAGGTGATATATAGCAGAAATAAGCCGCAGCTAGTTGAAATATTGGAGTTTAATTATGTGGTAAATAACTAGAGAGGAAGGAAGGTAGAGGTGTGAAGTCTTTTTATTATGGAATCAAGCACCTGTGGTGAAGAAACAGCCAAAGCTCTTTACAAATCCTCTTTCAAATGCCAGAAATGCCCTTTACTCGGTATTGCATTTAAGGTCAGATCATAGAAAAAACAACTAACACTAAATTCAATTAAATATTTATTTTCTTCTTATTTTTTCTACTGGGATCCTTATGGATCATGCCAGATACGCATTCCATGACTTGTCCCTTGACTTGGTGTACTGTTGCGCGCGTACGTATGGTTGTTTTTTTTTTTTTTTAAAAATTAATTTTAACAATTGAAATATTCTTAAATTTACTTTCATTTATCAAGATTAAGATATTTCTTTCCGATCGAATCTTAAATATAAAAAATAAACCATCAATACAATTAAATAAAATCCTTTTTATTTAAGTTTTAATCAAGCTGTTGATTCTCTATATATGAGAATTTCTTTCTTCCATCTTCAATTAGATTTGATTTAATTATAAAAAAGAATATATTAATTAACTACATGATTTATTATGAATACCTTAAGAATGATAATCTATGTGCTATTTAAAATCATTCTAATTATAAGTGTGAAAAGTGTTTGAAAATTGTCAAAAAAATATTTCAATATAAAAGTTTAAACTATTAAATTATGTTTCATGAATAGTTTTATATTGCTCATTAGTTTATTCATTTAAATAAAAATCATTTGAATTTAAAATTTATATATATTTATTATTATTTTATATTTAATTAGAAGAAAAAGTGAAGATAATGAAATTTCAACTCGTAATTTTTTTATCATCAATATTTAGTAATATATTAAATAATTATTTTAATTTAAAAATTTAAATTATTAGTTAATACTCGGAAAAAGGTTTATATTATTATTTAACCAAAACATATTTACAGCCATAGGCTACACGAAGTAGAAAATTAAAAAGGCTAGTTTGGTACTTTGAAACCAGCTTGAGTGCAACTTTGAAAGACAGTTTTGGTGAAGAACGTTGACTTTACATTTGTTAGATCTCTCCTATTCTTATGGTCCGATGATTCGGGCTAGCTTTGGCCGTGTCCGCAAATATTCATTATTGGTGAAGACTCGAGGTACGTTCCTCTGACACGTGCCACATGTTCTTTGTACTAAGATGCATAGCTTCATCACATGCATGTTCTTGCTTCTAAGTTATTGGTATAAATTCTAATTCGACATTAAGAAGATGTCTACGTACCATTTAACTCGGTTAATTGCAACTTATTAAATAACAGGTTGTACTATACATGTAGGCACATTCTAACTCTGGGATCCTGTGATTTTTCTATTTTTATGTTCTCCTCCGATGTGTTTGTTGGTTGGACAGTGCAGTGCAGCATATAAGGGAAATTAATGGCACCTACTCAATGTTTAAATTGTTGTTGCAGCATTGCCATTCCATCTCTGAATTAATATTCATTTCAGATGTTTAGTTTTTGAAATAATATCAATATTTATCGATAGAATAAAATTGGTTAGTTCCTTTAACTGCTACTAACTTTAGTTAAACTATCAAGTAATTTATAACTGGAAAAAAATAAAATATTTTGAAATAAATGATCTAGCTGTTCCGGTGATGATAAGCAAATGGTATACTCATGTGTAGAGAAAAATAAAGCGATGAAATGTGGAAAGAAACAAAGCTTTTGGTTCTGTTTGGAGGCAGAAGATGTGCATAGCTAGATGGTCAACAATGATAAAGCGAGCATGACATATTTGGCGTTGATTCATGGGACACATGATTTCCATTAATAAAAAAAATGACAAAATATATAATCACACTTCATCCCTTTACTTTTTTACGATTGATTATATATATATTGGCTTAAATTATCTCCTCCGTCAACTTCCAATTGGATGGAGGTTTCCCTAAATGAATGTTACATGTTACGATGTAATTGTTTAGAGGAACTCAAATTTGTCTTCAATTACAAATAGAGGGGTTAATTAGTTTCATTCAGATAAAAGGGGTTTGATTTGATCAAATGTATAAAATAAAGGATCTTCACTTGATTTTAAGTCATTGCTAAAAAATACTAGAGCTTTTTGCATGGGACCCAAAAGTCAAATGCCACATCAGCTGACAGGAATTCCAAGTTATAATTTCACTTGTTTAAGAGTCATGAGGCAGAAACGATTTTTCCCATTAGATGATTGAAAAAGGCTATAGAAATTTGGCCAACGAAATAATAAAAAATGTGACTGAAAAAATGCGGTTTGAAATTGTAGAGGATGGCGTCCGTGTATGGTGAATCCAGTGTCCTTTCCCCGGAATTCATAGCAGCAGGTTCGGGAGTGGGTCCACACTAATCCATTGCGATGAGTTCAAGATCATTATTGATGATGTAGTTTGATCCTTTAGTGTCCTAATATAATGGATGTTAATTTAATGTTCATACTTGTAAAACAAGCCTTTTTCTAGTGGTTGAATTAATTTAGGAAAAAAAATATTTGGCTGCAATAGACCATAAAAATATTAGCTCTTGTATATAATAGATGATAGTATAATTATTTTAAACTCGGAGAAAAGAACTTATTATTTTTATTTTATCAATCATTATATAAGATAACGTGTGATCAACTTATATTGGATCAAGAATAGAATTATCTTTTCCTATGTACTCAATAATTTTTCACATTTATTTGAGAGTTTGGGATCATTTTAGGCGATAGTCATTGTTTGATGGCAATTATAGTTATAGGTAGTGATGATGTAATAAGAATAATATAGAAAGCCATGTTTGTATTAAATGAATGTCCTTTTTATTTATCAAATGAGTAGAAAAACATCTTCTTTGCTTGGGCCATTCCTTTGTATTGATTACTGCAAGTCTTGTCCGATCATGGTGGCTATTGACGGATAGTCGGGATTATTCTATTCGAGTGAGCTTGTGGCTAGATGATATTTGAGTGGACCACGAAGACATGTGTCATGAATGATCATGTAGGTACATCAATAAAATCATTAAGCCTTTGGCAAGTATACTTGATGAAGACTCGATTCACATATGAAATTCATGAACTAGAAATTTCTTACTTGCCTTTTTAGATTTGACCTTAGTTGGCATATGAAAACTCATTTATTTTTTTTGTAAATTCAATAGTTGTGTGGTCACATGAGAAAACTAAACATTAGCGTGTAAAAATGTACAAAGGAATTGGATAGATTAGGTCGTTTAGAGTCTCTCATGTTCATCAAATAATGTCCACCTTAGTCAGTTTGTGGGGCTGATTGGTCTCTATTGGATTGGGTTTGCCTACTAGACTTGAGATCTCAAGTATTCAATGCTAAGGATTCATGCTCTTTTGTCTATAAATAGGCAATGATGTATTTGTCTTCTCAATGTTGATGCTTTTTTTCCTACTATAGTGCACTTCAGAGAGTTGATGCGGAGTTACTAATGGGTTATTACTTATCTAGATATTCTCTAAGAGATCGTTGATGCAAAAACATTTCTAGGAAAATCTTTCTTTGCAAACATGAGAAATATTGATGGACTAAGGCTTTTGAGGGATAATTTGGTCTATTGTGGAGTTTTTCTTCTCTAGTGAGTTATCGGAACTTTGATAGGTACTCTTTTTCTTTTCCTTTCATGTAGTGTCTAGTTGGAAAAATTATAGATTTAAAGAGGATGGGAGGTGTGTTTGAGGCTTTTTGTAATAGTGAAAGAGTAAACCTTAATATAGGCATGTAGTTCTTTTTGGAGTACACAAAGGTCCGCATCATCCTTTATAGAAGGTAATCACGGTGTAGTTTTTGAGAAAGGATAACTGTATTTTTTCATCGTTTAGGATGAAATTACCTTATAGTCGTTCTTAACGAAGTGATAGGATGGGAATGCCCAAAACTAGAGCCATGAAAAGAACATAAAGATAGTTGTTCCTACTTGTATGACTTATTACAACTATAAATTTCCTTTGTTTGGGCTTATGGTGGAAGGTTTTAACATTTTATTGAAAATATTAGCCGGTTTGGATGAACTATTTTTGTTGCTTTTTAAAAAATATATTAGAGATTCAAGATGGAGAGACCGACAACTAAAGCCATGGAAAGAAACATATAGATAACTATTTCTATTTGTATGACTAATTACAACTATAATTCTTCTCTCGTTGGGTTTATGATACAAGGTTTTTTAGCATTTTGGTAGAAGTGTTAGTCGACTTCATCCAAATAAATTGACCATTTTTGTTGCTTTTAAAAATTCTATTAGAGATTCAAGATTATCCTATTTTTAAAATTTTTTGTGTATTCTCATTTCCTAGCAGAGAGTACTAGAGAAGAGAGTGGGAGGCTCTATGTTTATACATTCCTAACTAGGGAGACAAATCCATTGAAATGAGTTTTTTGTGGAGATTACCGACCTAGTCGGCGATTATAGAAAAAAAATAGTTTATTATTAAGTATATGAGGCTTACACCCACGAGTAAATGTTGGTTAATTTGGGGATGCATTCCTTTTCGGAGAAGGTTTAAAGATGTTTGTAATGCCATCCCAACTCAACTTAGTTCGACTTGGATTTTTAAGAATGATTGAGAAGTAAGAGTGGTAAGTATCGAATTAACCTTTTAGATAAGAGTTTGTTATTAACTCAAAGTTTGGAAAGTTGTTATGCTAACCTTAAGCATTTTTTTCCTTTTGAATTTTGATTACCGATACACTTTTGCTTTTTAATAGTTACCAAAGTGTTTGAAAAAGAATTTGACCTAAGAGAGTTTAGGATAAAGCTTAAAGAATCTAATAGGAAGATGGTCTCAAAGGGGAACATTAGTAGTGTTAGGATATCCTTTTCTTCTTCAAGGGCAATAATGATAAGAAGGATAATGCTTGTGAGGCCTAAACCTGTATAAGAAAGAGAAGGAGGATTGATTTCCCTTTTCTTAGATTGGGTGCTTCACAACATAAAGTTCAAGGCTTTTACTTATCTTTGAACCTATGATTTAAGCCACTTCTCCCTCAATAGGGTGAATTGCTCCTTTTCTAGTATAACTAACTATCCAATAATCTGGTGTGGGAGTTTATTTTTTCTATTTAAAAGGGATTGTCCAATATCGAGCTATTTGAGTAAGGAGACTACTATGGGTCCCTCTATTGCTTCGGGACTAGGGTCTATTCCTACTCTTTCATTAGAGGGGTTTTGTCTAAGTATGAATTTTTTTAGAGATAGCTTCATTTTGTGAGGTAGGAAAGGATAAGAGGTCATATGTCCGCTTGGGTAAGTTTCTTTGCTTCCTTGAAAAATATAAAATTTTAAGGTTGTTTTAACCAATAATATAAAAAGGGTAATGCAATTGGCTTTAATTGTAAGTATTTTTTTCCTTTTTTTGTTTTGAATTTTGGTATTGATATGGTGATACCTATAGGTTTTTCAAGAAAAAGATTATAGACTTTATAGGTGGGACTTTTAAAGAGAAAGACATTTATAAACATCAATCTAGTCTACTTGGTATAAGGCGAGCAAAGGACAAAGAGATGTTTTCCCTTTATATAGAGATAAAGAACAAATTAAAGGAGGTGAATGACTCATTGGCCAAAACCTTTATTGATAAGGGACTGCTTGTGGCGAAAGAATTGATAGTGGTGGGAATGTTAAAGGAGATTGAGAGGGGCATTACCTTTAAGATAAAGGAGATGAGAGCCAAAATAATGGCTATGGCTAAAGAGAAAGACATTGTCTTGAGAGGGAAACCTTTTTATAGCAAATTAGAAACTCGTACTAGAAATTTATGTAAAAATTTAGGAGAAGTCTTGAATTTGTTTGAGTTTATGTAAAACTTTTATTGGAGATTCTAAATGATATCTATTTCTTTAACAAGGCTAAAAATATAGATATTGACCTCTCTGTGTTTTTTAATGGTGAGCCGACCTTAATTTTGAGAAGTAGTATCCTCTTAGAGTGGTGGTTGCTACTAGAGATAGAAGATATGTTCCTAATGATTATTTCCTAACATCCCTTTCTCTTAGTGAGATACGTAATGATACCGAGGACTTAGAATCACTTCCTGCTCTCGTTTAAAGTAGGGCACCAAAAGTTAAAACTATTTCTAGTGTCCTTCCTTTTTTTTTCAAAGAGAAATTCCTAGAGCTAATGTTGACCTTATTATATCTCATTTCTTTTCTCATTAAGAAATTTCTAAAGGTGATACGAAAGTTTTGGGGGAGATTTTATTGACTTCGTGGAGATAGGTTAGGTTTTATAAACTTGATGACCATTGCTTTTGGTCTTGTAAGGTCGGTTATGATTTCTCATTTTTGTTAATAAAAACTTGTTTTCTTTTTCAATGTCTTTTTTTAAATAGTATCCAATGTTTTTTTTTCTTTCCATGATAATTGTGTAGATTTTAGAGGTTCAAATTTCAAATCTTGAACTACACTTTTTTGATCTATTCTTCCAAATAAAGTGTAATTTTAGAGGAGGCAATCTTACTCATAAAGAGGATCATAGTCCTTTTAAACTTGAGTAAAATATGCTTTTATACTTGAGCAAGATAAAAATCATGATCTATTATAGTATTGGATTCTCACAAGTAATAGGCTATATTCTCGATAGAATATAAACCATTTGCTTTCCTAAGCTAGCTAGGATGCTTATATACTTGGGTAAAGTGAACACCTTGATCTCTTAAGAAACCTAATATGTCTTCTAAGTAGAGATTAAATACTTCACCGAGAGAAAGATAAGATACTTAACCTTTAATGAAGATTTATGATGCTTTTATACATAAACAAGGAAAAAATCATGAATTTTTGAGTCTTGAATTTTTATATATTACTTGGTTGTATTTTGAAGGGACAAGAGCCACATGTTTATTTATTTATTTAGGAATGGTCAAGGTGTTTTTATACCTAGATAGGGTAAAACCCCTATTTTTAGAGAGTGAATAGAGCTTTTAGTTTTAAAGAAGGCACACGAGTTCCCTAAGATTTAGATAATGTATGAATTTATGCATAAGTAAGATAATATAACCATAAATTTTTATGACCTTGAGAACTTATTTGTTACCATATATATTTTGGGAGGGACAACGTTTTATTTATATGAGAATGGTTGTGATGCTTTTATACACGGGTAAGACATGCTTTTATACATAGACAAAGTAAAAAACTTAACCACCGTTACCTATAATCTATGGGGGGTGCAATATTTTCAATGCAAAAATAGTTGTATGTTCTTGAAAAGAAAGTAAACGGATGAATCCAAGATTCTTAAAGGAACTATATTATTAGAGGAATGTTGGTTTTTTATTTAGACATACTTGATTGACAAAATTTTACGTGAAATCCTTTTTATTGATTATGGATTTAGGTAAATACATATCTTTTATGCAAAAAAAAAAAAAAAGTTTCCATCAATGTGTGTTGGCATGCTTGAAGGATTTGGATTGGTAATTGACTTTTTTAATTTATGCTTTCGTGTCCCTTATTAGATCTTCTTCTTGTCCTGCATCTTGTTTGCTTAGATATTTCTTCATGTTGGAGGAGGAACAACTCTAAAAGGCCACTTGACTTTTCTTGATTGTAGCTATTTCTTTAGGTGTAGGAATTTCAAGAATAAATAATAAATATTAAGAACATCATTTATTTCATAGAGGAGAGGTCTTTTAATTATGGCATTGTACTCACACTCATTTCTATAACCATGAACTTAATGTGTATTGTTACACTTAAAAGAAAAATGCTTATGGTCATTGAAATTTAGATTGCCCCCAATACTGCAACTTGCCCTCTTTCTATCCTTTTTAAAAGAGTTTCAATTGGTTAGAGTTTTGAGGGATCCATCTTTATCAAGTCAAATGCTTCTTTTGATAGAACATTGACAACATCGTCGGGATTTACAAAAATGTGATGGATTTTGTGATTTAAGTTCATCGTCAAAATTATTAGCACCTAAATTTTTCTCCAAAAAAAAAAAAACCAAAAAATATACAAAAAGAAGAAGAAGAGAAAATAGACTAAAAAATACAATTGAGGGATGCAATTGAAAAAAAGAAGAGAAAATGACCAAAATAAAACAAGCTTATAAATCGAAGGACCAAATTGAATTCAGCCAAAAACCCTAAAAATTCAATATAAATATCCCTCTTTTCACTCCTCACACTAGACTTTCTCTATCTAAGAATTTCGACCAACCCTCTCTCCTCGCTAAAAATCTCGACCGAGTTGTTTGATTTGCTCCCTCTAATCGCACCATTGTCTTCTAGCCGTTCAACCGACCTCCCGTCATTGCAACCACTCATAACATCCCCCAATCGACCTCCATCCATTGCAGCCAGCCTTGATAGCCTTTAACCGACCTCTAATCAATCCTCGATCCATGACAATCCCATCCAACGAACCTCCAACCACTCAATTTCTTTTCCCATAGCAACGCCACGTCGTTCGGTCGCTATTTAGGTTCAATCTAGTCTCCAATCACTCGATCTTCCTTCTAACGAGCAACACCACACCATCCAGGTCACTATCTAAGCTCGATCACACCGGTTCGAAGCCTCCGTTATGGCATCCGCCATTCGACATGTCTAGCGGTAGTAGCCAACGTCCTTCCGTAGTAGTAGTAGTCGATTTGGGTGTATCACCAATCCGATCTAGCGACTTGTCCTCACTATCCAATCAAGTCACCAATAGCCACCTCACTTCACATTGAATCTAGATTTGATAATAGGTAACTATCCTTCCTCCACGATTGATTGAATAAGTAGTCTCTATCGGGGTTAAAAAGGTTGAAACTGATCCCAATTTGATGGTCCAAATCATTTGACATTTTTTATATTTTTAGCAAGTAATTTATTTATTTATTTATTTTATTATTCTTTTTAATTTAATCTATATTAAATTTAATTCGTATCGATGTGCTTGTAAATTAATTAAATTATTATTGTGGTTGTATAACCTTAAACGATTACTGCTTGTGGTTATGTGGTTTAACCGATGTGCTTATTATCCTATAATTTTTTATTGTTGCTTATGTGTTTATATTGCATTAGTTCGAACCTCATTTTTAAACCATTTTTATCCATTACAACCATGAATTGATATTATATCAATTTTTCCTACAAAATATCATTCTTGAGTCGTGTTGGTTCGAACCTCATTTTGGACCATTTTTGCCAATTGTGATGATTGATTGGTAGTGTGTCAATTTATCCTAAAAATGTGATTTTTGAATTGCATTGGTCCGAATCCTGTTATGAGATCATTTTTGTCGTTTTTTTTTCATTTTTACCATTTTTTTGGCCAATTTTATCATTTCGTCATTTATTTGCCATCATCAATGATTTTTACCCATTTTGTCAATTTTTCCATTTATGTTATTTTGGCCTATTTTGCTTATTTTTACGTTATTGTCTATTTTACCTATTTTGCTATTATTGCTTCTTCTTTTTTTTTTTTTCCTATTTGCTTCTTTTACCGTTGTTGCTTATTTTGCCTATTTGTTTATTATGCCTTTTTTGCATATTTTTCTATTTTGTCTATATTGCTTATTTTGTCTATTTTGTCTATTTGCTTATTTTGCTATTTTTCCTATTACCTATTTTGCCTTCTTTTTTTTTATCTATCTTTCTTGTCCTACCTATTTGCCTATTTACTTATTTTGTCATTTTGCCTATTTTACCGTTATTGTCTATTATGCATTTTTTTACCTATTTGCCTATCTTGTCTATTTGATTATTTACCTATTTTGCCTAATTTTTTCTATTTTGAAGGTTCATTTAGGTCGCACTAGCCACATATTGTTGTACACTCATCGTGTTCTTTTTGTTTCATTTTCATGCTTATTCATTTTAGAGTGAGGATGAGGCCTTTGACTAGCCAAGTCTCAAATCACTTAATCGATGAGCAAATGTTTGAAAAATAAGCATAGACTTTCATCATTGAAAATCAAAAATCAAATCAGCTTTGTATGCAATACGACTTACCTTAGGTAGGATGGAGTATGGTGATTTTTAATCTTTATTACACGTAATAAACCCCTTATCTAGAACTACGAATAGACCAATCATGTGGTTTCTTAGTAACCATAATACTAGGTGGCGACTCCATTTATTTTTGCCCATTTCTCGAAAGCAACTCACCCTCGTCCTAACATAGCCCCGTGATAGAATCATAAAGGCATTATTATGAAGGAAAGTTATTCTTTCTACATCCATAATAGTAAAAGTGATGGGCTTATGCCAAGGTGTGCGGTCTCGTGAAATGGAAAAGATCGAAAAAGTCCTTTTTTTCTTTTATTGGGTCCTCTCTTGATAGGTAGTGCTCCTAAACTCATATTGATTTTAGGACAATCTTCTTGATGGAGGTCTTGTCGATGTTGGTCCTATTTAGGTTTGACCCTTATATCTTGATGAATTGTTTAAGATACCTCCTAATGATTAACATTTTTATTTCTTTTTTCAAGGAATAGTAATTTTTAGTGTTATAAGACAATACTTCTTCTAATTGTGAAGGCATGGATCTGTCTTTAATTAGAGTTGCATGGTTAACATATCCCTATTCTTATATAATGGTTGTACCTCCATCTAGGAGACATTTAAGGAAATTGTTTGGAGTTTAGAAAAGACTAGACATCTATAATTAGGCTTTTCGGGATTACTCTTTGAATCGGGTGGATTGTTATGATCTTTTTCTTTTCTTTCACTATTGTTTTTTGAAAGTGTGGGTGTACTTATCGAGTGGCTATCTCCTCTTCCACCTAGATAGACTATCCACCATATTTTTTACCCGATAGAGATTTCTATTAGGGAGAGTATAAATATTCTTTTGTAAATTAGCGTTGTTAACCCCTAATAAGAGCGCTTCAATTGCTATATGTTCTAGCAAACCATAAAATCTTAGCATTTCCTTGTTGAAGCGAGAGAGGTAAGCTCATGTACTCTCTTTTTCTCATTGGGACATAGGAACAAAACACTTGAGGTTTTTTTAGGGGAGATGTTAGTATAAAAATAGATTACCATTTTATAGCATTAGTCTTAAAATGAAGGACCGATTTATGGTCTAAGTTATTATACCACTTTCTCACCACCCTCTATAAGGTGGTGAGAAGTAACTTGCACATAATATTTATGTTTCGTATGACTAGCTCAACGTTTCCCGGATGTTCCGCATATGCTCTAGTAGATCCGTCGTGTCATTATACACCTCCGGGTTCATCTTTTTACTAGATAACTTTTTTGAGAGCCTAACATTTAAGATGCGAGAGAACAAGTTGGAAAGCTTAGATCTTATGGTTATAGTAGTCCGAATCGAGCTGAATGACGACAATGGGTCTCTTGTCTAGTCACTAGTGCTTACGTTCTAGGCTCATTGATGAGATTTGAAAAGAGGGAGAGCTATTATTATGTTACTTCATGTGTTAGTTTCTCGTGGTGTGGTGATACTTTGTTGTTTCTTCTCTCTCTTTATCCCTACAAGAGTCTTGGCTAGCTAGCTCTTTGTTATGGTGATGAGAATAACTTATTTATGGTTTTAGGGAACAATGATGTTTCCTTCTTTCGCCCCTATTTAATTGTGTCTGGCTGTTTTTTCTTCAATCAAGTGTGAGTTAGTTTGTTTTAACGAGAGAGGTCTACATATGTCATAACTTGTAGCAACGCAAAGAATTTTGAAGGTGCTTCATACGAGGGTGTTTGTTATGCTTTAAGCATTGGTAAAGGTGTTGGTAGAGGCCTTATTTGTTCTTGCATCATTATATACATCTTCATTAAGATTTTGATGCATTGCTATAGTTGGAGAACATTGACTAGTAGAATGCTAGGATCGGCAAAATAAAAATGAGTAGAGCAAGTCGGAGTTTCCTAACTCGTCAATCTTGAATGGAAACTTGATAATGAAGAAATAAACTAGACGGATTATCTTTTTGCTAAATTTCCATATACGACACCACTAATGAAGTCAAGATTCTCGGAATATAATTATTGTTGAGGTGACTTCTAACTCGGACCGATTGTGCGGTGATCCCAATGTAATGAATGTTGATTCGAGTGGCTAGTACTTACAAAACAAGTCCTCTTTCGGTGGTTAGAGGATCCTCCTATGGCTAAATTAACATATGGAGAGATGTGTTTAGCTTGAATAGGCTGTAAAAAGATTAGTTCTTATATATGAGAGAGATAGTTGTTAGTATAGCTATTTTGAGATTAGAAGGCTAAACTCTGTAACCTTTGATTTGTCAATCTTATATGAAGAATATGTAACCCATTTTCATGGAGTGAGGGCATAATGATCTTTTTTCCTATTCTTAAAAGTTTCTTACATCCACTTGAGAGTTTGAGATCCTTTAGGTGATAGTTGTTTTCTTACAGAGCATGTGTAGTTATAGTTGCTTATCATTTGACATAGACAATCTAGCAAGTTGTCTTTATAAAATGATTTTCGTTTTTTTTTTTTTCTTTTTTTGTTTTTTCCCTCCAATTAGGTAGAAAAACATCTTCTTTACTCGAGCTACTCGTCTGCACTGATTTTGCAGACCTCGCTGGGTGATGTGGTCGTTGACGACTAATCTGGACCATTCTATTCAAGACAAGTTAAGGTAATCTGTAAATAGAGAATGACCACACATGCTATAATTATAATCATGTGAGTTTCTAACATTAGATTGCCATTGTTTCCAAAGTGAACCGATCATATAGATGAAGATGTTCTCCGTTGAAGTCATACAATATTTTGGAAAATGTTTGTTTATATTAATATTCAAATGCTACTTAACTATTCTTGTTAACGCATCTGCCCAAAATATAAATGGTTTATCTAATCCCATATGATAAGAAAAAATAATCCGAGAATATTTTGATCATAAAAAGAAACCCTGCTCATAATTTAGTTATTAATTAAATACCTAAATCTGAATCCCCTTAATTTGGTTGTACAAATTCAGTTTGTGATGGGTTGTAACTTGGTTAATTCAAGTAATATGCAGGCACTGACTTTCTTTTTCAATTTTTGGATTTTAAATAGTATAATGATAATATTCTTCTGTTTTGTTATCTTTATTTCTGTTATGTTTTTCAGGATTCAATACCCTGAATAGCCCACTGGCTTTGCTCAACAACAGGTCATCTGTTGCAGCATTCGGCGATGCTTCATAATTAGGTGATAATGGGGCCTAAATTTAATTACATATTAGAAAGTCCCAATCTAAATCTGATTGTGATGTTGATAGGAGCTGTATCTATGTGCAAATTCTGTGGCTCACCATGGTTAGGCAAGTTTGGTTTTGTGAATAACAGGGAAAAATCATACTTTCGTAACTTGTAAAACTTGATTTGATCCTTTATATTACTTTTGTGCTTGACGTGTGACGAATGCAGTAGTTTTTTTCCTTTTTTTACTATCTAAGGTAGAACAAGAAGAATGGCGCAAAAAGATCGATTTGGCTATATAGCTTATTTAGCAAACCATCTTTATCAAGGAAGCCTCTTTATAGTTCTAATATTAGAGCATGCGAACTTTGGCGTTTTTAGAGCCTAAGTGGATCCACATAGGCACGTTCTTCTTTTCTTTGATTACTGTAAAAGATGTCAGATAGATAGATATTTTTAATTTGAGTTAATTAATTAACAATTATTTCAACGCATTATATACTTTTGAATTCTGAAAGGAGAATGAAGACTTCCTTAGAGCCCGAGTCAAATTATTGATGAACTAGGAAATTTGGGAGAGTGCTTTTCAATGTCAACATCCCAGAATATATGCAATTAGTTGTTTGTTTGAATGCAGAAACGGTTGGAAACATAAATATTGTAGTAGATGTGTAAATAAATAATAGGTAAATATAGATTTCACAATGCTTTACTTTGCTATCTATAGTTTAATATTTTCCAATGTCAACCTCATATATAGTTTTTGAAGTTCCAATATGACTTCTGGCTGTTAAATAATTAACAAAAACTAACGATGAGTTAATTTTTTGAATTTACTTTTCGTTTTGGAATTTATGAGTATTTGTGGAGTACTATCGTATAGATAAGGTTTTGGGAGGAAAAGATAAGAAAAAATAAAAATGAACATTTCCTTATTTGTCATTAGCTATTTAAGGGTTTAAATCAAAACTTATCAGAAATTGTGGGATTAATATCAACAAATTTTAACTATAGGGACCGAAGTGGACCATTGTTGAAGTGCTAAAAATGATCACTTTGACGAACGTTGTATCGTATTTGTTTAGGGGATGTGGATCCCATTACCGTATTTATTAATAATTCATAATACGCCAGTTGATGTTCACAAGTAACCATACTATTATTTACAGTGAAATGAAGAAAGGTATTCTGTTGGCTTTCTTACTTCTCTGAAAATATAATTGAACCGTCATCTTTGACATTAATTAATTGAAAGACTCGCACGTACGTCTCGTGAACCTAGTTTCTTATTTTTCAAAGATAACAGCAAAGAAGTGAATATTTCAAGGAATCAAATATAATACGGATGGATAATAATCATATACGCTGCAATGCTAGCCACGTACAGGGTCAGCATTTAGGTCTCTCAAGGAGTATGAAACTAAGAGAGGTAGGTAGGGTCTTTTGAATACTGATTTTTATTGTTGATTTACTCGCATGTTACTATTTTTCAAATTATTTTTGAACATTTATATTTTTAGTTTCCATCATATTTCATTTTGATTTCTAAAATTTTAATAAAAATTTTAATTCCTTAGCTCATGCACACATTTGGGCTTGCAGAAGCTAGGTGCCTAGACATACCTTTTCTTTTTTCTTTGGTTTTTTTTATCTTTGTTTTTTTCATCAATTTATATATATTTTTTGTTTTATATAATTGAGTGTTAAAATTTTAAAAAAATCAATCGTTATTTTTTTCTTCACAAGCTAACGATTATATAATGTATGCGATATATTTTTAGATTTTAGAATAAATATATATATTACTCTTATTGTTTACAATTGATCTTTTCAATTTATTATAAAAATTCTAATCAAGTTAATTTTAATTTTAATTTTTTATATAATTTTATTTGTTAATAAATATGATTTATTTTCTCTATGTATGGATTCAAATAATTCTTTTTATAGTTGTTTTTATTTGCTTAATTCTTATATAATCAAAATTCAAAAATAGAATATATGTATTTTATTCTCTTATTCCTTATATAATCAAATTTTACCGAAATCAACTTTATAGTTTCTATTACAGTTTATTAAATACAATATATATTTTACTATTTAATTTTTTAAAAAATATTTTTTAATTTATGCTACACATTCTCATCCATTAATTACGGTCATGATGTATAAAAAATAATAATATTAGAGTAACCGATTTTATTAGAAATCAACTCGTACATCTACATATACAATACCAATCGCATGCTATTATTTTTTAATAATTTAAAATTAATTTTTTCAAATAAAATAATTGAAATAATATTTTAGGAGAACTTCCTAATAATTCAAATATAATTTTATATACTAATATTATTCATTATTTTGTAAATAAATATGTATAAATCAAATATACATATTAAAAAAAAATTCTTCTTATCGGTAAAAAAACTTCATTTGTTAATTTTCATAAAAGTTTTTATATTAATTATTGCTTTATTTCTTCAATGCAATGTTATGAAAAAATATTAAGATATATTTTTTAAAATTTTATATTAAAAATTGTTATTATGGGTTTTTCTTTTAGCATAAATGCATAACAAAGAACAAACCATGTTTTTTATCTTCAAAATTTATTCAACACAAAAAAAAAAAAAAAAATACAAAATTTTGATTAAATATTGTAAAATTAGATAAAATTTATCTTTTATACTTAATTTAATATATTTTAATTAATTGATAACATATATATATATTATCAAACTGAAATAATTTGATCCACAATGTAATACGGGAATTCAATTACTCGTAAACTATTAGATGAAACTAGAGTTCCCGTGTTACAAAAATGTACTTATACTAGTTTGATCTCGGTTATTCGGAAGCAGAGTTATATTACATTTAGAAACGAAAATGGTTTTTTTTTCCCTTCTAGATTTTGAAACTAAATAGTTTCATATATATATATATATATATATTTGTTTTGATTTATTAAGAAGTCTAATGAGGCTTAAGCACCTTCCAAATATCTCGTTCTTTATGTGAATCAAAATCCAAAATAACTAAACTGAACCATTATAACTTGGTTAAATCATATATCTTTTTTTTTTTAATTTATATAATTGTAATTCAATTGATTCTTTTTTGTAATTCAAAAATTCAATTCACTTGGTTGGTAAAAAAATGCCACAGATCCAACCAAATAAATCAATTGCACACTTCTATCTAACTTTTATTACTTTTTTTCTTTTCAAATTAAGAATAAATATACCTATCTATCCTTATATAATATTCAAAGTCTCTCATTTGTTTTTGAAAGTTTTTGAAATGTTCAACCTGTCATTATAATCAAATTTTTTGACCATTTAATTTTTTTTTAGAAAATCAAGAACAGTGAGAAAGACATAAAAAAAAAAAAATTACTTTCCGAATTGCAGTTGTCCCTCTTATTCTTGTCAAGCATGAATGGTCACATTGGTGTACCATGGCAGAATTACAAAAACAATATAATCCATGTATTAGTATAGTCTCTACCAGAAATTGTTCGCCAACTTTAAAATATAACAATAAAACATGTATGAAACAACCATCTTAATTAAAAATTTTAAACTGTTGAATGAGATCTTAAAATCTGATTGTATTATTTTCTAACAAAATAATAAACATAAATATCAGCATAGAATTTTATTTACTACAAGCTGACAGGATCCGCTAGCGAGACATTGATCACAACTTGCACAAATGTCCCTAACACATTCTTCATGCTCAGGTTAAATAGCAAGGGAACTCACCTCATCATTTCGCCAAAGCCCTTCCTCATATTTGTGCCATTTAAGCCGTCCTAAATCTTTATACGCACGCATACACATTATGCAAGCATCATTCTGACAGGCAAAGAAGTTCTTAAGCTGGGAGGTTTTTTCTTCAGTCACCGAGTCACGCTCCCAGTGTAACGAAATGGGGTTTCTAGTTTGATAAGTGTCTACAATGATAGAATGAGATATGTTGAGTTCCTCCAAGTCGAAGAGCATCAATGTGATGTTCAAGGCATTTTTGTGCAGCAGCGAACACCGCAGACTCAAGATCTTGAGATTTGGGATGTAAATGAACAAGGTAGTCGCAAAATCATGATCGTAAGGCGACATTAATTTGAGTTCAGTGAGGTTCGAGCAATTTGCACCAACCACCTCTATGACGCGATTTGGACAATAGTTGCTTGGAAGAGTCAGAGACTCAAGCCCTTTCAATTTCCTGATAGCAGCACAGAGACCTTCTGCTGTAATTTGATTCCAAGCTGGAAGCACAAGTCGTTTAAGGTTCGAGCACCTGCAGAGAAGATTGTCACATTTACACCAACTACATGATCTATATTTGCAAATCAACTTTAGTAGTGGGAAGTCATGGAAACGAGAGAATGAAACCTTTCAGCAGCAAAGATTAAGTGCTCATCCTTAATGTTCAGATTGATGTCGAAAATCAAACGAGTCACATTACTGTAACTCAAAGTTAACGCATTGTTCAATAACGGCAGTAACATCCGATTACACTGCTCAATTGGCCTAGCAGATAGTTTCTGGATAACATTCATGAGCCCAAACTTCAATGCACCCACATCAAGTGTTCCCCATAGAGTTGAGTCAGAACATGCCTTGCGCCAGGAGGCACAGACTCCACATACACTAGAAACTAAATCCAAGATGCTCAGCTTCATGAATATCTTAACTAGGATAGCATAGTCCAAAGTTTCCCAGCTTCTTCTAACAGCAAGTTTATAGATCTTGTTATCCATCAGTTGCAATTCTTGCCTATATCACACAGAATAAAAATACGCACCCTTTTTGTGTAGTGATCAGGAGAATCAATAACAAAATAGTAAGCATTGGAAAACCAGAAGCATCAATACTTAATACCGGTGCCAACTGCAAACTAATATTAAAAAATCGGAAGCCCCAGTCACCATAGAAAACCTTCGGAAGAAACAAAATTGCTGCAACAATAATTTATCATGTTGATTAAATTATAGGAACGGCATTGACTATTTTTACAAGTATGATATTGTGCTGTCTTCCTGAAGAGCTGTTCTTTACCAGAGGCGTTTTCGTTGATTGGCAGAAAAAATACCAACGGGAAATATTGGCAGTTTCTTTTGTGTAATCATAGGCCATCATTAAATGGTTCTTTAGTCTTAACCATTGAAGGCCAAAGATGTGATGACATCAAAGGTGAGTCTCAGGGTTGGTAAAATATGTCTGGCATGGCTTAACCCACTAAATCATTCAAAAGTTTAACAAGTTATGAAACTTTAGGAAAGGGAAGGATTTACAAGGATTATAGCCATTTTCTTCTCACTAACTACCACATCAAATGTCATTTAAAGGGGGGCATGGAGCAAAAGCTGGTACTAGATGAATTAAATTATTAAAATATCCAATTCTATCTTCCTGAAATTCTCTATTCGATCACAGAATAACACGTTAGAGATACATCTGGGCAAACTAGGCTGCTTTGTAGTGCCTACATGTTGAGATACTTGGGGGTTGCTCAGAGTCATTCCTTTGATAAAAACTAACCAAATCAAAGAACTGCATAGTCAAACTTCAAAGTTAATCAAAACTCATAATTCTGAAAAAGAAATGTAAGTAAAATTAACCAAATAAAACACAAATGATATAGAAAGAATATAAACAGGTCATTTTCATGAGAATTAGGCTGTCCAAAACCTCAACTACATCTATGTGCATGCAACCCAATAATCCGAGAGTGGTAAATTTTGCCAAAATTTTGTGAAGTTTACTTGCCTTAAATATTAATTAGAACATAAATCTTTTTATGTGAGTTTGAATGTTTATTATCTAAGAAAGTAACCCAATTCATCGCAGTTCAAAGATTAAATAATATTGCAGATTCATACAAACTCTGCCCTCATTTCTTCTGGCATCTACTCTTCTTACACTGTTAAACAAGAAAATCTTCTAACTGATGTTAACAACTAGAACATGCACACACATACAGAGATGGATACGGAATATAAATATGTGGGCGCAGCATTCACAGGAATGAGCTTACCTTCTGTAACTGACTTTGCTCTTTCGTTTGCCAGTATTTGAGAAGACTGAAAGAATAAGACAAGTTCATTCATATAAGGGTGCTGCATCAACTTTGTAACGTCCAAAGGCAGGAGGAAAAAAAAAAAAAACAACTCTGATTCTGTAGGAAAGGTTCAGAGCAGCCCAATTTAAAGCACTGACAGAAATCTCACAAAAAAAAGAAAAAAGAAGAAAAAAAAGGGGTGCATTTTGTCATTTTAGTCGCTAATTAATGCATGCTCCTTGCTGTTATGCAGAAGCGACACTGCCAAAACAACCTGCATTTGCACTGATGTGGCACAGGGTGAATAGCGATTGCTTAACTGTCTTCCGACACGTCGGTAATCTCTCACCAGAATCATAATCTGTCCAACCTTATAATTTAATGTTTTTGGCCTAGCAGTTTCCATCTAAAGTTATGTTCCAATCAAAGCTGTTATGTTTCAGATTTCCAGTGGTCTACTTTGAGCATTAGATTTTTGGGAATAAGCTTGGGCATAGAGAAATAAAGTTTAGAGATTTGCCTGCAAATGAATGGTTTGTTTGTGCTGTTATATTGGGAATATGATTTAATGCTTCAAGAGGTAAGCTTTCATTTTCACGCAGATTTGCTAAAAGGTGCTGAGATTAAGAGCAAGGAGCAAGGAATATGTAGATATTGTTATGGGTACTTGCCATAAAAGTTTCATCACTATCCACCGAAAACATGATGCCCTAGCGACAACCTCACATCTTAACTTTACACTTGTTTACTTGAATCACAACTTAAACTAACCCTAATTATATTAACTTAACACAAGTTAAACTAATTAAAGTTAAAATAATTAATAACTGTCAGGGGTAATTTTGCAGCATATTAACATTTAACACTTGGATCTTCATGTATGCTGAGATTGAATTTACTTCATATTTTCTCTCTCTATATAATATTAAATATGCTTAGGGTGATCCAAGAGGGTTGGCTTGAGTCAAAGGGACTCTAGTTATTTAAACAAGTGATCTCGAGTTCGACTCATTATGTATGCTAAAAACTTTTTGGATAGTTGTCTCCGCTCTAGGCATTCGACATAATAGTGAGATATTAGTTTGGATTTTAAGACTTCGGATATCCCGAAGGATAAGTGCTTAGGGTGTTACGAATAATGTTTCTATCAATAACGATTCTAAGGAAAGCTACATTTATGATGCACAAAGCACATCTTCCATATGTAGGGAAGGGAGTGTGCAATGCCCAAGGCCCAATAGCGAGCCAAGAGTGCTATTGCATTGTATCACATGCAAAAGTACAAGGCAATGCACTTTGTTCTTTATCTTGGATCTCTATGACCATGCCTAGTAGAATTTCCTTATTCGGTTTAAAGTTCAAGGCTTCCTAAACTTTAACATTTATGGTTAACAATTTTTTTCGCAACCTATTATAAACCATTTATAAACATCATATACCATTTCATTTCCATTCTTGGATTAAAACCAACATATGCATAAATCGGATCTAAATCCATTCAATAAACCTCAACACATTCAAATTAAATTAACTTAGCAACATATCAAAAATTGATATAAATATTTTATTATCCTTTATATATATATATAACAAAAAAATCAACTTATACAACTCAAAATGGTCGAATCTAGAAAATTCTCAAAAGTGGTTGAAACCTAGCATTGCTTTAGCTTTCAAACTTTAAATCTACACTCGTAGTACATGATTTGACAAACTTTGTAACTCATAGCCGGTATCCTCAACGCATCTAATTGATCCTCAAGTATTGATTTGCTCACCTACACCATAAGTTACTTTGCTCACCTACACCACAAGATAAAACAATGAGCTAAAGCTTAGTAAGTGTAACCATGCATGAAATTCAATTAAAATCATCATTTTGCATGCTTAAAATTCTTTTCTATCTTTTAGGTTCACTCTATTAGACATATAATTTTAGCCATCTTTACCCATTAAGGCTCCGGATATGTTAAATTCAACAAGCATCACAAGGGTTGATCATTTTCCTTGTCTATCTTGAACATGTCTAAACATGTTAGTGTCTTCATAAAACCATGTCCTCATAAAAACCATATACATGTCCTTTCTTGAATGCTTGAAATCATGATATAAATATTTCATAGTGTGAATACAATTAGAATACGATAGCAATCATAAACATGAACATGAATATGAACTATATGACATTAAGTTATTCATTAATACATTCCACATGACATGATAAGGTCAAATATCATCAAGCGTAAACCAACCATGAACACGATCCAAGAAACCTCAATAAATCACCAAATTTGAATTTTATCAAGCCATAACAACATTAGGCATTTCCATGGTCATAGGCTGAATCCATCACAAGACACAAACATATAATCTTTCATTAAATCTACCTAGTCCAACAACACAACCCTCTAATTATTCAACCAATCAAGCCAAGCAACCATAAGCAAATTAAACCCATCAAACAAGCTAAATCCACCAAACAACAACATAGTCAATTATCATTAGTACAACCCATAATCTCAATATTAAGTTCGAGTAAGCATAAAGAAAAGCCAAGATTATTAATTTTCTTCAAACCATTCAATTAACAAGCCTATAATCAAATCACAACAACATTCATGAAGCATTCATTCTATTCAAGACCAAATCATTCCATTAATTAAGCTTATATGGCCGAATCTCCTATGCTTCCCCATAAGTAATTCAATCATCAAAACCAAGTAACAATAATAATCCTCAACCAATAACACACCTACTAAATCAATAAGTTTAACCTAATTCATTCAACTAGTCAAATCATCCTAAATCAACTAACCTCAAGTAAAATGTCGCATAGCCAAATCATCCATCATCACCATCAACATTCAATTATCTAAACCAATTCAAGTAACCATAAACAAACCATAACTATTCATTCCACAAGCTAAGGTCAAATTATATCAAGCAACAATTACATCACCAAATAAACAACCCAAAGCCAAATTCATCCTAAGTCACCCAACATAATTAAGCAAATCTTAATTCACACATACCAATACTATAACCATAAATATTCTTCAAAATTTTAATCTAATAATTAGTCGCATAGTCCAAAACTATGAATTTCCAATTCGTACATTAACTCCACATTACCCATGCTAAATTTATAATTAAACACATATCCATTACTAATACAATGGCCAATCACTAATTAATTGCTTACCCAATCACTTCATAATGTAAAGTCTCTATTTAATAACTAACTAAACCCTAAAATTTCTAGATTTACATGAACCCATCATTAACACATTCAATCATTAATTAACTACATGCCATAACATAAAAACAACTAATCTTTCATCAATTTCATAATCCAAGCATCAATTGCTAATTCAATCAAATATATAATTAGAAACCCTAGGTTTTATAAGAACACAAATCACAAATCAACACATAATTACGCTAAGTCTTGTGGTGAGTTGGAGTTACAATTACCTTAGGTTTGATTGAAGATGAAATCACCTTAAAACCCCTAAAAATCACACCTTTCTTTTTTGCTTAAAGTTTCGACCAAAATAGCATTTGCTCGTCTCGATAGTTTTCTCCTCCTTTCCGTCAAGCTTGCTTTCTTTGGACAATTTCAACTTCTTCTCTCTATAAATTTTGGTTCTCTCTTACTTTCTCTTTTGTGATTTAGTCTTTCTTGCTCTCTTTCTCTCT